AAATTAAGTTTGTTTATGTTACATGGTAGGGGGGTGTGCACGCGCGCATGTGCGCGAGTCACAGGTGCCACCACCCTACACCCATTTCCCTACACCCGTTCCACTATTTCAGTTCCCCTTCTCAGGCCACCTCCACTCTCCCTGCCATACCTTGATGTCAAAATGAATACATTAATTAATGTATTAAATAATACATTAATTAATGTATTAATTACATACATTAGGGGAGGCCGCCTGGAGTTCGCCTTTTGGTGCCTTGCCCAGCCCTGCTCATCATTAGGCTGCCAGTTGACTCACCCCTAACTGTGGCAGGGCTCCCCCATAACCATTTGTCCAGGCTCCTCTGGCCCAGTCTCTCTCTCTCTCTGAGGTTTGGGCCTAGGTGCCCACCAGGTCCCCAGCCCCACCGGGGTCAACTGGGGCCTTGGTCCCTCACGATATGGGGGGAGGGTCTCTGGGACCCTTCCCCTGGAACCCTTCTCTCTGGTCCTCTGTTCAACCCCACCAGTGCCTGATCGTCGGCCCTTGGCCCCAAGCACAGCCCACCCCCCCAAGGCTTCTCTAGGATCACACACTGGCCCCTGAGCCCCTCCTGGGCCTGGCTGTTGTCCCCTCATCCCCCCAGGCACATCCCCTTTAGGCCTCCTCCATCTGCCCCTCCACCTTTTGGACATCTACCCCTCTAGACCTCGCTATGCTCGTGCCTGGATCTTGGCTTTCTCAGCCTTGCTTGCTCTGCCTACCCCTTTTGCAGGGTGGCTTCCTCATCCCCTACAGACGCAACCTGGTCCTACAGTCTAATATAAACCCCAAACAACAGGAAACAAAACATAGACTCATCTCCCACCTATGTAGCCCACTTGTAGACCCTCCTTCTACAGCAAGGGTCTGAGCCTTGGGCTCCAGATTCAGGCTTATATGGCCCTCGCTCCTCCGTCTGCCAGTCACCTCGCCTGGCTGGGTGCTAATAGGGTCTAAATGCCACTCGTTCCCTATTCGGCAGACAAGCGTTCATCTGTCTGCAGGCTGAGCCCTGCAGCCCTTTCAGCTGAGCTCCTTGCAGGCTGCACCCGCAATGCCACTCCTTTCTCCCTTCCTCCAAGTAACATGGGGGGGATAAGGGTCCCCTGTTACAGTGTAAATGTGCATATCATGTTATATATCATATGATATATTGCAATAATATAATATAATGCAATGCAATACAATAGTACGGTATTGTATAGCTGAGTAGAGTACAGTATGATAAAATGTAATGTGATGCAATGTAATATCCCTGAACTTCTGCTGCCCCCTGGCTAAGACGATGCCTGGTACTGTCATTATTTAGACACTAATTAAAAAAGAAATCATATGCGTGTGTGTGACACCTGTGACACCACCCCCCCATGCATGCACACACTATGTAACATAAACAAGCTTAATTTATATACGCTTTTTCACAGCAAGGCCATGAGGAGGCAGCCAAACCCTACGGCAGACCTAAGAGGTTCCCTGCTGACATCAGAGAAGAGTTTGCAGTCTGTATTTATTTTTTTTAAATGCATGTATTTATTTAAACATGTACGTGCTGATTTAAATGATGCTGTATTTATTTTGCGGTTACACCTGACAGACACAGCCGTGGTCTGTAGCCAACGGCTCTTTGTGCTTGGCACTCTCCAAACAGAGACTATCATGCTCCCGGCTGGCAGAGGTGACAGTCTGTGCATCAAAGAGCAAGGAGATGCGGAGACGTAAGGGCAGTTCAGGTCGCTGGCCCTGAGCTAGCGTGGGTACCGGCAGCAATGTGACTATGGCAGCAAGGCCTGCCCTGGGCCCTGGGCAAGTGCTAGCAATAGCCCAGTCAGCTCATTCAAAACTCAGCTAGGAACAAGTACAGCCAAGTTGCGAGGACACTGCTGGACTGCAGGGCAAGCCGCCCCTGAGAGCTCGTACCCTAGCAATGGGGGCAGTACGTGAACGGTTGGGAAATCACAAGGCTGCCCTCTAAGCCCCATCATCTTCCAGCTGGCTATGGAGCCCCTCCGTGATCACAGGGATCGTGGCCCGGGGGGTTCACAAACGTGCTGGCCTCTGCGGAGGATGCAGTGCTCCTTGGAAACAGGCCTAATGAACTCCAGAAGATGCTGGACACCAGCTCTGAGGCGGCTGCTCAGGCTGGGACTCTGGTTCAATGCATCCCAATGTGCCTCACTGCACAGGGACTGCTGAGAGAGAAACTATTATGACCCCTGTCATCATGATGCAGGATAAGACCAGGAGCCAACAGAGTCAGCTTCGTGCAAGGAAGAGACCGTCTCTAGAGAGTACAATGATATTATCCAGTAGGTACCCTATTGAGAAAAAGGCAGACATGGAGCAAACTCACTGCCCTGATGCACCCTCCCTCTCTGGATTAGTCTGAGTTTTGTCCTTCTCTGTCCATAGAGAAACCGCTCAGCCCTCACAACTTCCCAGTCGTCCGGGAAGCACTATCTGCACTCAAAAGACCAGGAACCAGAATACATCATTCAAAGGCCAAGTTTCTTCTCCATCCCTTCCCTTTGTCTCGAGCCACAAGCATCGTGGATGCCTCTAAGCAGCCTGGGCACCTCCAGGCAGGTGGTACCTCCATTGACAGAGACGTCACATCCTCATGTGCAGAGGAGGAAGCTGCTTTGTCTCCAACTACCCATCCACTGCCTTAATCTCATGCAGCAGCTATGCCATCTACTTCTAGCCCTCTGCTTCTCATGTGTGCCCACCAGTGGCTGTCTCCACTTCTCTCGCCCCTTCCGGTTTTCTCACCCACGTGCTCACCATCCCACTTTGTTTGCACTGACTCCTGTCTTTCTGCTTCCCATCTGCCTACCAAAGCCATCTCTGCACTAGTTACTGGGTCCTACTGGTCCCTACAGGATTGTACTGGCAGCAATATTAGACCAAAGGTTGGGCTTGTCCACACAGTGAAGCTCCTAGGAAGGAAAGATGCTAGCTACTAATGTCCCGTGTTCACACTCTTCATGAGAGCTAGCTTGCTTCTCTGTGAAACTCACGCCCAAGCTGACTTTCATAGGGCCACTGGAAATTAAGGCTGGAAGAGCATCTAGTCTAGCCCGCTGCTCAAGGCAGGAGCATCCCTGACTAAATCATCCCTGCTGAGTGTCTGTGCAACCTGCTCTTGAAAGTTTCTAAGGATGGAGGAGTTTTCACCACTTCCCTAGGTGCTTGTTCCAGTGCCTCAGAGTCAGAAAGTCCCTCCTCATCTCCAGCCTAAATTTCCTCTGCTGCAGCCTGAGGCTATTGCTCCTTGTCCTATCCCCTATGGCCACAGAGAAAAGCCCATCTCCATCCTCTTTATAACCACCCTGCAAGGATTTGAAGACTGCGATCAAATCCCACCCCGGTCTTCTCATCTCCTGGCTAAATAACCCTAGTTCTTTCAGCCTTTCCTCATCAGTCTTGCTTCCCAGGCCCCTAATCATTTCTGTTGCCCTGCTCTAGACTCTCCAATCTGTCCACATCTTTCTTGAAGCCCAGGGCAAGATGCAAGACACCGGGAACAGTCTCACCAATGTTGAATAGAGAGTGGGAGAATCACTTCCCTCAATCTGCAAGCGACACTCCTGTTGATACAGCCTAGGATGCCTTTTCTGCCACAAGAAAAGGCTCATATGCAGCGTACGGACTACTGCAACCCCCAGGTCTTTCTCTGCGGTGCTGCAGCCTACTCCTTTCCCACGCATTTCTGCATGCAGTCGCTCCACCCAAGTGCAACACTTTTCCCTCATCCTTGCCAAATCTCATTTCATGAACTATGGACCACTTCCCCAATGTATCCAGGTCATTCTGGATCCAAGCCCTGCCCTTTGTACTTTGCGGTAACCTCCTCATGAAACAAACCCTTCGATTCAGAGCCAGGAGGGGCTTTGATCAATCCCGGTGGAACGAGAGGGCAACTCCTTTTCCTCACCCCCACCTCCAAACTTCAAGCACAGGAAGGAGCAGAAAGGGGGACAGGAGCAACAGGGTTAATCCCACCCTCAGAAATCCAGCCTCAAAGTTTCAGCAGTTTTCCTTGGAGCATCCTTCCTGCTGGACAACAACCTGCTGGCGTGAGTAGCATGAGCTGCTTCAGGTAGGACCTGAGTTCAGCTAAAACTGTCTGGCTATCAGAGGAGAAAAAGCAAAACGGTCGACGATCCTTAGCTTGATCGGAAAGGCTTGCGATGTGCAATAGCTGAGGGATGCATTGCACAATCCGGGGGAGCCCTTCGGGTCTGAGGTCTCTTCCCGTCTCTGGAGCAGCAGAAAATGAGCGCTGGAGAGAGCCCACTGGGATTTGGATAGACGGGAAACCATGGGTGTCTGCTCTCCTGTCCGCTGCACCCCTGGGGAAGCTCTCCTCCACCGGCGAGGGCTGCTACTGCCATGGGGCCGGGAGGAGCATGGGGAAAGGGTGCACAGGCCGGGTTGGCAGAGGACACCTCGTCCTCCCACAGTGAAAGATGGGTAATAGTCCTTCTTATCAGGAACAGGAGTAGCAGGGTTTTCCCGGACACGGAGCCCATCCCCAGCTACTGCAGATGGTATCTACATCCTTTTCATAAGGGTGTTGTGCCCCTTTTCTCCTACCGGGTGGCTATCCCAGAGCCCCACTTCTCCGATGGGTGCCCAACCAAAGTGAGTTCGTGACCACTTTATACCCATTTGCTCTTGTACCAACACTGTCCTTTAGCACAGAGCATCCTTCCCCCCCCCCAGTGTTCACCCCACTCGAGGGATTTAAACCAAGAAATGCTCCCTCCCCCCACGCAGCTCGGCCTTTGTGCTGCTGAAGCAGGCAGGTTTTTTTGGTCCCTCCTCATCGGGCAGGCTCCTTATTCTCCCATCCACCCTCACAGCCCTTCTCTGCACCTCTTCCCATCTGAATTCATCCCTCCCGAGCATGAGTCAGGCTTGGAGGGCATAATCCAGGGCCACTTACAAGGGGAGAAATGCTTGCCAATCTGTCCTACCTCTCTTGCTATGTCTAAGGATCATGTTTGCCTCTTTGCATCCTGCTCGCGGTGCCATCTCACTGCAGGTGAGTCTTACACCTTTTCTCTTCCTCCTCTCTCACTTCCAACTGGGGAGCTCCCGGGTCAGGGCACCGTTAGTCCTGAGGCACATAAACTTGCCCTTTGTCCCATCACATCTCTTCCTCTTTCTATTCCTCTGGGGCATCCGGTTCTTCTTACACGTGTCCTGACGAGGTCTCCATCCCAGTGCCCCAAGCACTTCATCAGCACACTTCTATCTTGGCACGACCGCTGTTCGAGCCCGGTCCCGCAATCAGTCCCCAAAAACTGCACCCCTCCGACCCGACACTTCCTCTTCAGTCGCTGCAACTCCTCCCCGCCCACTGCATCCTTCCCCACCTCGTGGGTTTTCTCTGCATTAACTAAAAAGAGGAAATGAGAGTTTCCACTGCCTGCTGCTCAGCGATTTGCAGTGTGACCTTTGGCAATACCCATGGCCTCCCTTTCTCCCTCTGTTAAGCAACGGCGATTCTTACCTTGCAGGGCAGAAAGGAGGGAGGAAAGCCCCTGTGTGCACTCCCACGGGGCACCGATGGAGCGTGCTCTCATGCGTGACCCTCCGTTTCCCTCGGCAAGGGCAACAAGAAGAGGGGCGCAAAGCTGCCGCAGCCCAGCTCCATAAAGCGATCACAGGGGTGAGCAAATGCCGGGTAATCCCTGCAGGGACTGTGTCAGCAGGACGAGGATTAGGTGGTCGTTACTGCTCATTAGGCTGAAGGAGCCAAAGAGCCTATCGAGGAAGAGCGGCGAAGTGGGGTCACGTCCTCAACAGCAGCACAGCCGGCAAGCCCACCCTTGCTGGGCCAGAATAGGGGACATCTCCAAAACACCGGCGAGGAGACTTGGTGCCAGGACTCCCGGGATCCATGCCTCGCTCTGACACTGACTCACTGGGGGACCCTTGATATCCCCATTATTAAATGACCCCCGAGGGATGGGAGGCTCAATTAGCAGCTGGATGAGCTCTGCTCCCATCTTGCCTGTCACTTCATCTTGCATCTGTGTCTGCACCGACTGGGGTAGCGATTCCCAAGCTAGAGGAGGGGAGGACTGGTCCATCAGCACTGGCAGTAGCCTAGCTCGTGGCACTCGCAGCTTTGAAAGGTGTTTAGTAACATTTACCTAGCGTGTCCACATGGGGAGGTGAGGCAGTGGTCCAGTTTAGGGCACGTTATTGCTGCGAGTGACCAAAGCTATGCATCTGGTTTCTACCTGGTGAACTAGAACCAGCACCTGATTTGCTCCCAATTCTCTTCTCCGGTGCAGTGCTGGGTTGGTATTTTATTTGCTGGTGATAGGTTCTCATTGAGTTACCAGGAGCTGGGGCCTCTCAGGCATCCTGTCTGATAAACAGAAATACTCTGAGCAGGATCTGGGAGGAAATAGCTCTGCATCCGGAGGGAATGCTGCTTTCTCCTGAGACTTGGCTTTTGTAGCAGCGATCCCTCAGGTGCCCTCAAGAAACCAAGAAGATGCACATGGGATGTCCCTTGATCTTCCCTCGGCACTGTAATGCAGCAGCTTTTGCAGCAAGGGCTGGAAAGTTTCCAGCCTTTGGGGGTGATGGTAGGAGGAGATGGGAAGAGCACAGAAAACTAGCATGATCTCAACTAGCTGTCTCCTCCCTCCCAGGCACCACCTGAAACAAAGAGATGGGAAATGATGAGGCTTCCTGGGGGCCTAGCAGGGTCACAGCAAAACCACCTTCCCCACCTAGTCCAAAGCTGGATCCCTAGGAGGCACAGGAAGGCACCAGGAGAAGACACCCTTACCCATCAGGCTGCTGCTGCCTTCTCTCAATAAATCCCAGGTGACCCGGGTCCCGGTTCAAGCTGTGGGATGCTGTTGGTGTCACTAGCTAGATTGACTGAGTTGGGATTTTGGAGTCTGGGACCTTCCCTCCTTGCCCCAGTGGATGGGAACCCAGGCAGGCACAATACCTGACTCCTGGGGCTACTTCCAGCCTGGCCTGCCTGCTCCTGGGTTGCTCATTGAGCTGGTTGGCACAGATAGCCATGTGGCATGAGATCAAGTAGGAACCCCCCTCCATACCAGGAAGGCCATACAGAAGACATGGCTCCCCCTCTGGTCTTTGGTCCATATCCGAACCTCATCCCCCATGGGCCTGAGTAGAGCCCAGGCCCAGAACCGGAGCATGCTCCCTTCATCATCATTTTGTCCTGACACCCTTCCCCAGACTCTCAAAGCGCCAGGTGTGAAACAGGCTGACGGTCCCATTTAATGCATCTCCTCATCCCCAGCATGGTGCTGGCCCCAGCAGACTCTCTTCCAGGGGCAGGTTTTACCTACATCCCCAAGGCATCTCTGATGCAGTGTATGGCTGTCACTGACTGCAGAGAAGCCAGACATACCTGAACAGGCTTTCTCAGGGACCAGGAGTGGTCTCACCATGGCACCGGGCTTCTCCTGCGAATGCAGCATATGCCAACCCTCTGGGACGTAGAGAGGCTATGGCAGGCTGGACCTCCCAGGGGCAAGGCTAGCACACCCACCGCTGGACCATCCTTCCTCTTCAAATGAGGAGAGCTAATTTCTTTTCAAGGGCTATGATCCTTGCTGCTATAAAACCCCAGTGTGCCCCACAGCCCAGATCAGACACCAATGTTATCTCTAAAATATTAGCCTGTGAGCTCCACACCTCTCCCCAGACAACATGCTGGACTCCATCTTCCATCCCATTCTCTCCTCCAGCCCCAATGTCTCACTCCCTCTTTCCTTCCCTGGCACATGCCTGGGATCCACCTGTTCACCCTGCTCTTCTCCGCCCCTGGCTCCTTCAATTTCACCTCGCTGGGTGCGTTTACACAAGACGTTAACTGCGCATTAGCCTAATAACACTGCACAGCAGTGTGGCAGGCAAAAACTGTGCTAATAGCCTCCGGTGCAGTATTATTAGACTAATGTGCAGTAAACATCACCAAATAACTGCACCAGTGCTGTGGCACAGTAATCCTGGGTACTGTGCATTTAGGGCTTTTATAGATACGCAATGGGAGGCAGGGGCGTGCTTTAATTAGCAAGCCACACTATTTAAAAGCACCCGACCAGCACGTGTATCAGCATCTCCATGCTGAAAAATGGTGGAGGGGAGCTTTGAACTAAAGCTCATCAAACCAGTTTCAGTTCAATCCCTGCCACCATTTTTTAGCACAGGGATGCTGATACACATGACGCTGGAGGCTGCTGGAGCATGTTCATTTCCATGCTCCTGCAAACTCGATTCATCTGGAGATGAACTGAGTCTGCTCCAATGCGCTGGATTTACAGCGCATTACAGCAGCCTTGCTGCATGTCTGTAGGAGCCCTTAGTTTGTAGTGAATGGGTTGAATCTGCACGTGTGACTCTGAAGTTACTTTCTGTTGAATCTGCTAATGCCAATGCATGCCTAGTTTTACTTGACGTTTGCAATAAAGTCGGTGCTTGCCTGTCCGATTGCACTCTTTCCCACACTTGTGGCTGGGGCCTTTTATTTATGAATGCCCTGCACAAACATAACAAAGTCCTTGTCCCAGAATGCACCGCTCCCTCCCGAGAGTCGGTGCTGGGCTCTGCAGCCCTAGCTGTAGGTCTTTGGGCATGCACATTCCTGACATGCCTGCAAACTCTGTGGCTTCCATCATCACCGTATCTGAGCACTTTTCAACAGCACATGACACAACCTGCCACATGTTGTCTATTCCTTCATCACCTCCCCAGGCCGGTCGAGTGTTTTGAAAGGTTCACGTACATGAGTTGCTCCATACTTACATAAGAGACACACACTTTGTGCTTGGCACAGAAGGCGGGTTCGGCCCATGGTCTCAGACCAGCCCTCGAGAAAGTTGGCTCCTGCAGAGAGGAGCTTCACCCTTATTGCCACTGTCATTGCCAATGACAGGCTGCACCCCAGAGCTTTTGGGGGTTGTTTGGGTATCCTGGACCATGATGGCCCTTGGAGATAAAGAATGAGACACAGAATTTGATTTGAAAGTTGTACCAGCTTTGTACAGGTCAGAGGACAGATCTGATGGGTTGCTGAAGAGATGCACACCAGCCTTTTAGATTAATTGTAGTTTCCTAGGTGCCACCAGTTTCACACCCAAGTATATCACCTTGCTGTAGTGAAGTGACCAGGGCATGAAGAGCTGAGTCCAGATCATCATCTGCTGGGATGGGATAGTCTTCAATCCCCGCCAGATGTATCAGCTGCTGTTACCCCCAGAAGCTGCTACAGGAGGGGACGGCATCAATGAAGAAACTAAGTCTATAGCCTCAGAAAAATCTTGATTGACCAATTGTGGGTTTGTGCCATCTATCCAAATGACATTTCACTATGTCTACAAACTCTTCTGGGTGGTTTTTTTCCTCTGTCTCTACCACCTGTGTCTAATGTCATGGACCCAGCTCTTCCTCATCTCTGACTCCATCTTCTCCAGACACAGGGCTATCTTGGTGGCAGTGATGGGGCCACATGGGTGAAGACCTGAACCGTGTTATCTGCAACTCTACCCCCCAGACTTAAAACAGCCGATCCAAAGCCCATTGAAGTCAACAACAAGACCGCAATTTATTTCTGAGGCTCCGGATCAGAACCTTAAGAGTTAAAAAAATACGTATCATTGAACAGGAGCTTGAGACTCTTTGAGAGGTGTTTTGCCCTCCCATCTCAAATGGCTTTTTTCTCCTAACCAGCCTGCTGAGATGTGTGATGCAAGGTTTGGTCATTAAACCAACATGGCAGCACATTCCCCCCCCTGATTCAACACCTAAGGACCCAAAAATCTCACACTCCTCATACTCCCACTTATCTCCAAAGCCCTTTTCTAGCCACCTCAGCTCTCGGCACGAGGAGGGAAGTGCATAAGTCCCAAAGAAAAGGGATGTCACAGAGAACATCCCCTCCATCAATCATCTCTCTCCTCTTGCTAATCAGCCCCAACTCCACTGCTTCCCGCAGCAACGGCTGCAGTAATGCAGCCCAAGCAGAGATGCTGCCAATCTCCCATGT